TATATGCCTACTAGACAAGATGATATGATATAGTATCAATGAATAATTCCTGGTATTGGATCCTGATTATAGAGTTTGGTAACGTGTCCTTTCATACTGTATGATGTACTGTAGTGCTTTAATACTTGAGTTCAGCAGTTTCTTTTGTAGTGAATTAAGCACATGTATGCAGACTTTTTACTACCACTCGTAACTGTTATACCCAAGTCAAACTTCATTATTTAGTTTCTCCTGGTATTCTATTTAGATTGGAAGTTCTATTTTTGTCTATGGAATGACAACATTATGACTTGTGTGTTATGGCATTGAATAGATGATGCGGCAGATTATATCATATTTCAAAATATTGTTTGACAACTTTCCTGGCTGTATTAAGGCATGATCATGGGTATGGACAATTTTGGAAATTCATCATGTTCTTGTTGCCTCATAGACAAATTTGTGAAATAAAAAACAATTTTTCAAAGTCAAGTTGAATAATGCTGATTTCCTATCCTGTCAAGTCATTTTACAATGAAGTTCTAAAAGCAAAAACAATTGTGGAAATTTAATGATTTTAAAGTTATTTTATCACATCCAAAAGGAAATTTACTTGTTAGAATTACAATTTGTGGAAATATAATTTTTACACATTCTGTAGAAGAATTTCAAATCTGCTAACTTATTTTAATCCTGATTTGACCACCTAAGGTTTACGTTTTGTTTCAAATGGTCAAAACCAAATGAGTTTATAACTTTATACACACTGTATTTGATGAACAGCAGAATTGATATGGAATGAAAAATTCTTTCGACAGCCTGTGGATCATTTAGATCCATGTAGGTCATCTATACAACTGTTACAAATACTGTCAAGAAAATCACAATTATAATTTGTCTCATTTGATTATTAGGTACAGAGTTCATGAGGAGCTGACACACTATTTAATCATTTGGGAAATCCAAAGGCCCATATTCTACTTAATTTTAAACATGACGTTGGATTTAAGATTTTTTTGAAAATGGGGTTTAACAAGGTTTCTCTGTTGCTTTTTTAAAATGTGACTTTAGACACAGTGTCATGTTTAACTGAATAAGGAAATTACAGAACAAATTTTTAGGGATTTAAAATAAGAAAAAAATATCTGAAAACCTGATTTTCTTCAAGTGCCTTTAGAAAGTGAACTAAAAATGCAGAGACATATTAAAGAGAAATGTTTTACTTACAAAACAATAATCTTTTTAATGAGAACTCTTTACTTTGTTTGTAAAACCCCTTTGGTACCATAAATGTATAATCATTACAATTACTTTCATATTTTACGAAAAAGAAGGAAGAAATTGTAAGGAGTACCTTTAAATTTATATTTGTGTAGCATACAGACCTACCCTGACATGTACGTAATGGCCCATGCAAACTTCTTTCTTCCTCACTCTCTAAACACATCAATAATTTCACTCTCAATCAAAATTTCTTCCATCTAATAAATTGACACTCTTTTCACAGACATAAAACAAACACATGCGGAGAGAGGCAGGTTGATTTGTAGATAGAGAGCGGGGGACTGTTGTATTTGAAATTAATAAAAATGTGGTAGTTTTAATTCAAGTATGCAGGGTACAAAGATGATATTTTATGAGAATGAAACTAACAAAATGCTTAGAATTTGTATATGTTATCATTATCATTATCATTACTTTGTCATGGTAGAGAATAGCTTGAAACACTTTAATATCATGAGATTAATCCACATTGTTACATTATATATTTGAACATCCCAGCACATATGTGCATTACGTCGTCTAGATTAAACAGACAAAGAAATTTCTGTTTTATTTGAAGAATAACAAATCGGAAGGGAAAAAATATTTGTAAATACTAAGGAGTAGATAGGGAGCTGACAGTTTGGAGACAGGAACTAATGGGAAGAACTAAAACAGAGCTTTATTCTTATTTTACTGTTGCATTTTCTTCCAAACCCTAAAAATTGATGATGTAAGTCTGAGAAAAGACAGTGTGCATATATACGTATTGACATTCCATCAAGTTGCTATTGACATTGATTTTTAGCCAAGTGTTATCATACTTTAATTGTGTTTGTTTTATGAAGCACTCAATGTTTGCTATGCACACTCTCTTAGATTTTATGAAATTGCAATTGAAAAGGAAAATTGGTTGTGGATAGGACGTACATACCATCTGTCTAGAATAATGAACCAAAGTTGTCTCTTAACATATTTTTTCATTAAGTATCGCTTTCATTCATTTCTATGCATTAAGAAAGATATTCAATAAAATTGTCATTTTATAGAAATTCATTGAATGGCAGATAATACTTGAAGTTGGCATAGACAATGTGTGCATAAAGGATTCCCCTCTTTAATGCATTATGGGAAATTGTTTAAACTGGATATGTTGCAGATGTGAGCAGAATAAATAACATTTAAATGTAGGGCCTACTAACATAACACTGCTTTTCTATATAAGCTACAATTTTGAATGATTGTGTTAGTGATATTTCTTTCAATTTCTAACTCTTTCCCGCTCTTACCAAGTGGGTTTATCCTACTAATCAAATGTATTCAATCAACAGCTATATTTGCTATTATTAATATCATCATTAGTAGCAGTAGCAGTAGCAGTAGCAGTAGTAGCAGTGGCAGTAACAGTAGCAGTAGTAGTATCAGAAGCAGTAGTAGTAGTAGCAGTAGCAGTAGCAGTAACAGTAGCAGTAGTAGTATCAGAAGCAGCAGCAGCAGCAGCAGCAGCAGCAGCAGCAGCAGCAGCAGCAGCAGCAGCAGCAGTAGCAGTAGTAGTAGTAGTAGTAGTAGTAGTAGTATTCTGGTAGCTGTTGTTGTTGTTATTATAATTATTATTATTATTGTATAATGATTTGATTTCTAATCATCTGTATGTGTTTGTCCAGTTAAAAGTGAGCCCCTTAGTGTGCTCCCAATGGGTCCTGATAGTAGATATGCACCCTCTATAGAAACACTTCCAGGTGAGCGGGCAATCTCAAATCTCTTCTCATCAGTTTACCCCCACTCAAATTAACAGCATACATTATTTGCATGTTCTTTCTTTGAATTTTATTTAATATACACCCATGCATCTATTTTAATCTATATTCATTGGTTTGTTGGTGATAGCTTTCAAATAATACAAACACCCAAAGTATCTTGTCTAACTCTGTAAACTATAATTGAATTCTTTAGAACTTCTGTTTCCCAGACTAAAGAGTAAAGACAATATGAAAAACCTTGAATATATCAATATTCTTCCATTTTAGTAGTGATGCCAAGCTACTGTTAATTCAATCAAGTAGCAATCTATTGCAAATATACCAAGTGAAATATTTATTTTATAAAGTATGCCAGTATACCCTATATATACTCAAGTGGTAATCAAGAGGCTATATTTTCACTCAGAATTTCTGAAAAAAGGACTGTTTCCTTCTGATAAAAACTGTGTCTAGAATCTTTACTTATCTGAATGAATAATGGAATGTTTATTATGATACATATTTAATGAGCACTGTTTTTATGACCCAAGAAGCTTTCCTTATGAAATAAACAAATAATTAATGCTTGACATAATCCAATCCATCCATGAAATCATAACTAGGGTATGTGACTGAAAACATAGGGAAAGTGGTCTGACTCACCTTCATGTGTAGTGAAGAAGAACAGATGAGTGACATATTATTGTGTAAATGACTTTTAATTTACCAACACAATGGATTTTGCAGATGCTTCTGCATGCCTAATATATTTACTACTAAGTGCCCAGTGTGTGTAGACCTTAACCATGTTTGTTTGTCATCTCAAGTAGTTTAAATCAACCATTTATTCATTCTGAATTTACAATCCATTAATAAAGTTAAGTTGCAGACATACATGTATTCTTGAACATTAACACCTCAGTGTCTTTTCCATCAAAGTCTTTTTCTATGGGTGAATTGTGATACCAGTAATTGTTTTCAAAACTGTTCAAAAATATACCATGAAAAGTTTTAATCACTCACATATTGTAATTGCGTTTGTAATACTTACATGTGATTGTTTGCAGCATTGCAGAATGAAGAATCATTTGGATGCTGCTGCCATTTTCTCAATATTAATTGCTAGTGAAAGTAAAAATATTTATGTATGTAATTAAAATTTATTGTAAATGTAATAAAACTGGCCATTAGCTACCCATCAGCTACTGCTCATGGACAGTTTTCTATCTTGTCAATTAAAAGAAGCCTCATGATATGAAAGTTTATCAGTACTTCTGAAATGTTTTTATCAAAGGCTTGTGTATTAGAGATGTGTAATAAGAACTATGTCATCTCATGAATAAACATTATTATATAAAAGAACAATCAAAGCCAGAAAACCATTTTGCAGAATGTTGTAAGTTAGCTTTTCATTCATAAGAAATGCAAGTGCAAAATTTCATGAAGATTTTCAAAAAATTGATTGAAGACTCTCATATATAGTTAGAACATTGTTACAGGAATCATTGAATATCAATATTAAATGGAAGTTACTTTGTGATTATATACATAAGTATGACCTTTTTCAAAAATTTGTTTTGAAATATAAAAAGAAAACAAAAGGATATCACACATAACCTGTAGATCTACTATGAACTTATAATAAGTCAATCATTTGCAGTGTTTGTTGGTGTTGTGTGCATGTGATTTGAACCTTTAAAAAAAAAAAAAATTTTGTTAGAATTTGAAAAATCAAATATCCTTTTCCTCTTTTGATATGATGATATGTGATGAGAGTCATACATAACAAGGTCATTTTAGTCTCTTTGAAGTTGAACTTGATTTTGCCCCAGAGTAAGTCACTTTGAATATGATTGTAAAAATCAAAGAAACATTTGGTTAAAAACTACAAGAGCACACTTTAACAAAATTGAGCATTTTATTTGATGGTGCATATTCAGATTCTCTCTCTCTCTCTCTCTTTTAAAATCATATCGCAGTAGTTTAAAAAATGTCATTTTATTTTTGTATTTATTATAGGGTCAAGTTCGGGTCAAAGTTCATTGGACATGAACCTTCGTCAGCCCAAGTCCGAGTTCCCTTCTCAGTATTACAGGTAAGCTTGATTATCTCTCACACATAAGCCATAATGATTTCACTATTTCAAATGTAAACATATGACAAATTAATGTACAGCTTTCTTGGTTTCTTAAACATATCATATCATATTTTTGGTAGCTAACGATTTAGTGGAAGGAATATATTACATATTATATACCTCTCTTTAGAAATATAGCCATATGATTGGTCAAAATTGGAGTCGTGATTTTAGCCATTCCCGTAAAGAAACAAGGGTAGTTGTCCTGTTTTAAAAAAATATAACAAATGGGGGGGGGGGGGGGGGGGGGGGGTGATGGTGGAGTTGTCTGGGGTGACAGTCCATAAGGAAATAAGGAAATTCTTCCTGTCATGTTTGAAAACATAAATATTCATAAATGGTATGCAAATGGGGCATCACCTGATCACCACTTCACGACATGAATATGTACGAGTTGTATGCAAATATTTTCATCACCTCATTCGCCACTTCAAACCATGTCAGGTCATGACCCTTGCCTTTTTATGAACAAGAAGGAAAAAAATTAACTTGACAAAAATGAGGGAGAAAAAAGGTGAAAGATAGGAGATACTGTATTTCCTCGATGGTAGAGAGAAGGTTTGTTTTTAGGCTGGTGGGTAGGTTGGCTTGGTAGGTAAGATTTCTCAAGAGAGACCATCGAGAGTCCTGATCAACCAGAAATGCGGGCATTTGTCTTCAGATATCACTTTCCTTTGATTACACTCCTGTGACGGTGGCGTGGCCATCTATTGAACACACTGTACAATCTTACTAGTGCCTGCCTATGAGAGCTTAATCTGGAACTAATTGTTTAATTTTCCATGATGTGCGCTGTAAGGATTAATACCTTAGCTGCATTAGACAGGTGAGTAGAAGGAATAGATGCTAGCTGTCTGATAGAAATAAATCTGGATTAGCTAATTATGAGAGGTGGTGGTAATCCACACCGATGGTCTCTGTTACATAATCCTATCATTTGATATGAGTATGAGAGGCAAGGCCGGGCTAGCTAGCTGGCTTGTAAACCATCCACACCCGACAGTCTATTAACACTTCTCTCTTACAGATTAGTATAGTAGAGAAATGAGAAACTGATCGCTTGATACCCGTTAGGAATTCAGCAAGGATTTCACACCAGCCTTTCACAGGGTTGTCTTTAGAAATTAGTCATATTGAGTAGCCAGACAGTCGTATGAATTACCAATCAAATTAATTTCTGATTGTTTTTTATGGATAAATTTCTCCCATTTTTTCTCTCGCTATATTTACTTGTGGTGGTTTGAAATTGAAATAGACAATGCTCTTTAGATTACAGTGATTATTGTGCAGGATTGCATAAAGCAGCAAAATGAACAATTCATATTTTTAGTCATTGCGCAAAGGGTTGTTTATTTTATCAGAAACTTGATTTTAAGTTATGTTGGAAGATCTTATTGTATATTGCCACCTAATACTTTTTACATTTCTATACAAGAAAACTAATAGTAATAATAATAATAATAATAATTAGAATGATAATAATGACAATATTAATGATATATCTTGTTTTCCCAGGGTAGCCTCATCAGTATTAATACTGTTTCTTGAGGGCCCTATAATCATATTGGCATTGTTTATGATAGTAGTTTTCATACTAAATTAGGAATAACCTATAACTCATAGATCTCGTCAAAAAAAGGGTGATTTTAAAATATAATATATAATTCTGTTTTCATCACCTTTCGAACCTTTTTAACATATAAATTCAAAATTAGTATACATTTATTTTTTCGAATTTCAGCTGTCCTAGGTTAACTAGGACTTTCATTCTACTAGTACTTTTGAGAAATTAAGGACTCGATATTACATTAATTATAGACTTGAAAATGTTCGTGCAGTTTATCATGATCTGCTTGTGAAGTGATTTAAAGATAGTGCATTTATTGATCTCTGCAATTAAAATTGTAGTGTGCTCATATTTCTTATTTAAAGACATTTTATTTATGAATTCCATCATCTTTAAATCGATCCTAATGAGTATGATAATTTGCTGCTTTGTTCACAGAAATATATTATTTAACATTTAACAGAGAACCTTGGTATTAATTAAGTGATAAAAAACATCAAACAAAGAAACAAAGAAAAGGCAAAAGTAAAAAAGAGAAAAATCCTAAAGACAGTAAAAGCAAGCAAATTTAATATTATGCAGTGTTGAGAAACAAAAAAAATTGTCAGTGCTTGTGTTTTCCTGATTTCATTGGCATATGCTTTAGAAAACAAAGTGTGAGAATTGATACCTTTTTTGTTGGTACATTGAAGAAGAAAAAAAGAGTCTATTCTGTGCTCATTTTATTGTTTCTCTTGCTGATTATAAAACATTTTAGAGGGACTGGTTTTGCTTCATATCTCTTTTAATTTTAAAATGTTTAAGATGGAATTTTATATCAAAGTGATCTCCCATTTCAAATCCTCCCCACCAAAAAATAAACAACAACAACCCCAAGAAATGAAAATGGTCCTTTTCCCACATTTTAAAATATATGATAGGAAGTAGTTATTGTGAAAGCTGTGGTCCATTTGTTGGTAGAGGATGTATTAAAGGTGGATGTATTTTTTTCCTGTGTGGTTGATGATATATCCGGTGAATGGGGATATGAACACCTCCACCCTTCCTGTGTCTTTACATAATTATTCAGCTTCAAAACAGGAAGCTAAAATAATACTATCATCAAACAATTTTTAAGGAGTCACAAGTTCTAAGGAAAAACAAATCCTGAAAAATAAGCTTAATTGTGCAAAGGGAGAATGTTTTGCTATTACTTCACATCAGTATTACATACTTGTGGAGAGAGGGAAGATATTCATATTTTGAATAAATGTGATAACTATTATTTATTGATATTTTCATTCTATTTGCACGATGTTCCTATGGTGTCTCCATCATCAGATTCTGATTTATTTTGTACTATTTAAGATGTCAATGGCATCTCTGAATCAAACTTCTAGGAAGACAACTTTAATTTTCTTTAAATAATGGCTGAAAGGAAGGTTATTAGATTGATCATTCAACCTCAAAAGGTACAATCTAATGGGTTTTTTTCATCTCTTAAGTGAAACCTGTATTTTAAAGTGGTAATGGAAAGTGTTGATGAAGTGTTCCAATCTATAATTTCTCTCTTACATTTCTTTATTCTTATGTTTGGCTACACATCAATATGACTGTAGTTAGTTCATTCTTTTGAGAAAGCAATTACGTCAGATTTTGTATTTTGTTTTTCACAACATTTCAGACTTAAAAAAAAATCAATAATTTAATATATTGGAAGGACATGCATCTAGGAGTGGAGAGGAGTCCTTTGCAATACTTTGGTGCCCCCTCCCTTCCCATTTTATGTAATCTGATTTTTTTTTTGTAGGTATCTCTTATTTTTTTCCTTTTTAAAGATGATGCATTTAGTTTATGTTTTTTTTTTTTGTGTGTGTGGGGGGGGGGGGGGGGGATGATAAGTTGCCTTGAATTTGGGTAGAGGTAAAAAGATGTTTTAAGTTCAGTTTGGGCTTGAGATATTGAACCTTATAGTATAAATGATAATGAAAATTGATGAATTGGAAAGTACAATGAATAAGCATCAACAGGAAGTCATCTTAACAAAATGTTTGAGATTGAGATTGACAAAAGTTAGCAACTCTTATTAGCTAATAATCTATCACAGTCAAAAGAAAAAACTAGAAAATGAAAGAAAAGTTTGAACAAATTAGTGAAAGCAATACTGATTGGATATCAAGAAGTTTCCGTGTCATGCCACGAGACTTCCGAACACCTGATCTGACCAAGAGGAAGTTTACAAGTTTAGAAGGAAACTGTGGTACCTGACCAATCAAAAGATCTCTTCAGCTTGTTTGTTTTTAGGGGTTTTTAGTCAAGAAGGGAAGTGAGACGATCTTGATTATAATGCAATGTTCTTAGGTTATAGGTCATTGTCTTCATTGTGTCACATGTGATGCTAAGTTTCACAAATAAGTGCAACTTCTATTGTAAAGAATGCAAATTTATCTAAAATAAAAGTAGATTCATATTGCATAAGAATTTTTTTCAAATAAATTCAAGTTACTGGCAAAAGCTGTCAGCTTATCTGAAGAATTATTAAAATAGGTAAACTCTAGCAAGCAAGGACTAGTCAAATTGTGTTGGATTATGAACCATTTTTATTTTAGCTGTGTTCATGAGATTTCTGTGGTTAACACGTAATAACATACCGGTACTTTTGTCATGTCTTCATACATTTGCTATGTATTCGGTAAACCTTACTTTTATTTTTACACATGATACAAAAGTTTACTGAGAAAAAGATCAGTCATTGTGATAAACTGGAAATGTGAGGAACTTCTCCCCAAAAAGGAGAGTAGCCGCATTCACACTGTAAGCAAAAATGGTTGATTTTTCTCACATTATGTGGTTTATATCGGTACTACTAGCAAACAGGACGTAAAACAGAAATACAAAAATTCACCACTGAAATGTGGTATTTTTGAAACTCCTGCCAAAATTTCACTGATTTTGGCAGTGTAAATGCCCGCTCTCAAAACTTTAGTTTGATTTTGTATTTTGGTCATGTGACTCTCCTCCTGGTTTTCGTGTGATCGCATGCAAAGCAGAGACAAGTCACGCATGCGCATTACTTGTTGAAAATTTAAATGAGCAAACACCAACATTCTTTTAAAGATAAAGACCAGTAATGGTCATGCGATTGTATTGTGAAAGAAACGTTGTGGAATCGATCAGAAAAGGTTGATTATCTAGCATTGGTGTGTACTGCAAGGTTATGGAATCATCAAAATGATAAGAAATTTGGCCTAGTCTTCGTAAAGTTACAAGCACTGTACGCAGAAAGATGTTTATGGGACTACGCACACGTGCGCGACACATGCGTTTATCTCAAACACACCAATAGATAAACTAATTTACCAAATATATCAATTAGTAAGCGGTTTCCCGGCAAAAATTGTATCATCATGTATTTGTCAAAAATTACTCTTTAACATGATTGGTAATAAGAGCTTCCATTTCATTTTTTGAAATTTGGGTGTTTCCAAAACTGGTCTTTACCTTTAAAGGTTTATTCCAGTAGTGTAAATGGTAGTCCCCCAAAATCAATGATTTTTCAAAAGTGTTTTTGGGCTGTGTGAATGGGCGAGAGAGAGAGAGAGAGAGAGAGAGAGAGAGAGAGAGAGAGAGAGAGAGAGAGAGAGAGAGAGGGGAGAGAAATTGTGCCCAGTTTCTGGACCCTAGCCTTGAGTCCCCTGCTGTGCAAGGCCTAAGGACAAATGGTAGCATCAAAGAATCAGTTTGAATTCCAGCTTCAGTCTTTCTTTTTGATTTTGGTTGCAGAGTTTAGATGGGGGTGACACCTCTGCACCAAACAAATAAACTGAGCTATTTTTCATTAGACCATAGTCACCATTGTGAAGGTCATATAGGAGTGCTACATTCAGGGGGGTAGATTGATATTCAGTCGTAAACATGGTGGCAACATCACAAAACCAAATTTCAATTTTGGTTGAAATAATCCCTTCTAATGATATGTGTAGCATGTATTTGCTGCCAGGTATATGTTATAAAATTTGAATGTTCTTAAGGATTTATTTAATAACCAGTTGAGTGGAGAAGTAGAATAAATTGTTTTAATGTTTTTGTTACAGTCAAGCATACCCACACATCTTGCCTACTCCAACGGCTCAGGGCGCCAACTTTCAACCAGTAGGATCACAAACACAAGGCACATTTGGTTCTCAGAGTGCCTCCAGTTACCCCTACTCTACTCAGACATCACCCTCGCCCTATGGGCTAGTAGGACAAGCTATGTCCTATGGTAAGATCACTTCCTTATATCTCACTTATGGGCTAGTATAGGAATTGTAACTATGTCCTATGGCATAATTTGAATTATTTAGGAACTGAGTGCAATCCAAAACTTGTAAGTCATTAGATTCTTTCTTTTCTTTTTTAAAGTTAGTATAGTCACCAAGAATACTTGCTCTAATTTGTTCCAATTATTGAATTAAAAAAACGTATTGCTTTTACACTCATTTAGCACCCCAAAAAAATTATCTTAATAAAAGCGTTACACGTATTATCCAAATATGAGCACGGCGGTATGATCAACATTTTGGTTAACAAATAAAATAAATATTTGTGAATGACAAGAAATATATGCTGGTACCTAAAATATGCCAGGTGTTCCATCCATGTTTCTAACAAAGTGGGCATTAATTTTATTATTTTACAGGAGCAAAGTCTTTAAAGTCGGACCCGGCTACATTACAAGGTCAAGGGTCGTATCTTAGTACATATGGTTCATCAAGCTTCACTGGTAGTCCGCAAGCAACACAGAGCCCTTATTATGGCATGCAAGGTACCTTTCTTTATCCATTCAGTACCTCACAGAGCCCTTATTAATGGCATGCAAGGTACCTTTCTTTATCCATGCAGTACCTCACAGAGCCCTTATTATGGCATGCAAGGTACCTCTCTTTATCCATTCAGTACCCCACAGAGCCCTTATTATGGCATCCAAGGTACCTCTCTTTATCCATTCAGTACCTCACAGAGCCCTTATTATGGCCTGCAAGGTACCTTTCTTTATCCATTCAGTAGCTCACAGAACCCTCATTATGGCATGTTTCTCTCAACTTTCTGCTTTTATTAAATCCAACTGAAGATCAGGGTAGACTTTCCCTTTAAGAAATGTTTCCATTGCAAGATTAATCTATCAAGGTTTTAAAATGGTTGTCTTGGAGCTAATCCAGACAGAAAATGGGTAATTTTGCATAGTCACTCTTTTGTATAATGCAGTCCTGCATCAAGTAGTTCCCACTATTTTGTGCATAATCGCATGAGAGGCAAAGGAAGCAACTAAAGTGTCACTGAAAATGACCAATACAGGTAAATCAAAGAAACACATAGCATTCCCTAAAGGATAATTACCATTTTCACCTTGTTTTTCTCATAATCACTTTTGAATGTGAGATAAATTGGGATGAACGCCATTTAATAGAAAATCATGTTGTTATTTCAAATTGCATAATCCTGAATAAGTTAAGTAATGGGGATGTTCATCTTCATTTCAACTACACCTCTGTCAGAAAGTAGGCTTTCCAGAAGGACTTTGTATTGGTTGAGATATGCCCAATTTAGTGGGTACCAAAATCAGAATCTGAAGCAATTCAGTATTTCAACCTCCTGAACCTTACTAACACTTCTCCATCAAATTTTATGTAAAATATCAATTTATCTTCATAATAGATGAGGTTGAAAGAAAATCCACGATTAAGTTATTCATACAGTAGGCTTGCGGGTGCACCATGTGAGAGAGAGAGGGAGGATTGAGGAGTCCTGAAAAGGACTCTCGGTAATCTTTCTTGAGGGTTTGTAGTCCTGAAATGGACTGTTGGTGTAGTTAGTTGGTAGTTGGTGTAAGTTATTCATCTTGTCTAATGCTTGTACATGTATTGTTTGTGTTTGCCAGGTACGTTTACAACGGCAGGCTACACATACCCATCAACCAGCAATACAACAACAAATTCACAGGGTTTCAACAGTACACATCAGGTATGTAAATATTATTTTATAATTGCACTGATTCATAACCGGGCATGGTGGCTCAGTGGTTAGAGTGCCCGCCTCATGAATGGGAGGTCGTGGTTTCGAACCCCGGCCGAGTCATACCAAAGACTTGTAACAATGGGACCTTCTGCCTTCTAGCTAGGCGCTCAGCATATTAGATTGGAGAAGGGTTAGTTATAACATATTATGTTATATTATGTTATGTTATAACTGAAGCGGCTACCCTGGGTAAATAAAACGTTATTATATATTATTATTGTTATTCAAAAGGATTCAAATTCAGAGAATTGTAGTACTTTTGTTTGGCATAAATCTTATTCTACTCTCTGAAGGTACACACCTGATAAAATTTAGTGCAAAATGGTTGGTATTATGTTGAAAGATCTCTTTTCAGTCCTGTTTACTACGAGGCACTGCACAGAAGTGCTTTGGTGAGGTTGATTTGTGTCAAAGTTTATATCATGAAATCTTACTTTTATTTGTCTTGTTTCTTTACAGGGTGTAGAATATGGTTCTTATACGGCCTACAGTCAAACCGGTTTCAACCAGTACTATGCTTCACAAAATTACAGTCCCTACTCTATGTCAAATAGCTTGAGCGCTAGCACGCCGTTACCTAATACAACAACATACCAGTTAGCGCCGTTACCAAGTGACAGTGAGTAAAAAGATATTTACTATTTTATCTTCCCTCGTCTCATCAGTCATCCTTTACAAATTTCATCTTGTTAATTTATGCAATTCTTATGTGATTGTGATGATTATCCAATTTCACTCAAATTTTGTGAAACGCTGAGATATATCTCCTGAGCTAGGTTGAACGTATAGATTATTGGCAATCTGCTTACAAGTCAGAGTTAACCATTTTATCATTAATTGTGGACTGGATAACTCAACGGTATATAAAAATGCTTTTAAAACAGAGCAATACATTATTCAATATGTTGGTAATGAATATTTTCTTTGCACTATTTCTGTTTACTGCCTTCGATCTGCAACACTTCTCTCATGATAAGAGGCTATGACAAAGGGCAAATGATACCTAATAAGCTTGATATAATTTGATAATGCAAAACAGGTGAGACCATAAACATCTCATGTGGTAATGGAAAGAGTTAGGATATGAGGAAATGTTGATTTGTTTAACTTAAATTACATTTGAGATTTAACCTTTCATACTGCTCAATAGTTAGGTACTCAGTTTATGATAGATACAAACAATGACTTGATTTTAAATGATTTTAAATAACCATTGTATGCCTGGCTGTAGCTTTTCGAAATTGTATTTTTTCCCCCATTTTGACAATTTTATCCCTTTACCTCCTGGCGAATTTTCTGTCATTTTCTTGGTCTCCAGCATGCATTCCTGTGAAGACCGAATGATTCTCTTTCCCCCAGGGCTAAACCACTGCATATTTCTCTCTAGTTTTCTTAGTTGTTTGAATACAAGCGTGAAGTCACGTTCGCAGGTCGTAGAAATTGATGTGACGCATCACATTGCTGGTTTGGAAGAAGCTTCTTAAAGGCTGTGTTATTGATTTGTGTTTGTCAAGAGACGCGCGCCATTCTACTCAATTATTCACTATTTTAAAATTCATTTAAACAGGTGTGAGATTTTTCTGCAGGGCTGATTTTAAATGATTGAAATGGCACTACAGTTTGTTTGTTTTTAGCTTTTTCTTTTGATCATAGGTACTTGTGTCTAGAATAGCAAATAAAAGTTGCTTAGATGTTGATATTAAGTATCAAATAGTACTGGACGAATTATAAGATTCTTCCCGATTTATTGTTCCTTTTTAGAATGCACATTTTCTATTGTAATGAGTATGGAAATGACCTGTAAATGGGACTAGAATCAACCAAGGATTTGAGCTTACATTCAGTTGAGAGAGAAGGGGTATTCAGAAATACAATGTTACCATTATGGAAGAGAGGGAGAGAAAGAGAGAGAGAGAGAGAGAGAGAGAGAGAGAGAGAGAGAGAGAGAGAGAGAGAGAGAGAGAGAGAGAGAGAGAGAGAGAGAGAGAGAGAGAGAGAGAAAAGACTCAATTAAACTTGGGAGAAAGTGAATTTTTACCGCAGGGGATTAGGGACAATCTAGAAAATTGGGCCATAAAATGTTATGGACAATTATAGTCCTGCTGGTACTCAATGCATACTATTATCAGAGAGAATGGGGCGAATGAGAGAAAGCGGCCTATTGAAGCTTGTACAAACAGCCCCTGATATATGTACCAAAAGAATATCTTGGAGCTATATAGAGAGTTAGCTTCTCATCAACTTTCAATCATGAAAGAACCCGGGAAGGTCAGAAATATACTAGGAGGAAGAAAGAGAAGAGAAAGGACTGAAAATGGAAGATGAATGATTACTGGTATAAAATATTTGTGGTTATGAATTCAACATGGGTAAGAGAAATGAATTTCATTTAGCAAACAAAATGGTCAGGAAAAAATCAGGCTAATTGAAAAAAATGAAAGGCATGACAGACTTACGGAGTGAAGAGATGGATAATTGTGAAACACATCTGAAAGATAGATAATTGTGGAGAAGTAGGGATTGAAAATAGCTGAAAGAAGACAAGTTTATGATGAATAAATGAATGAAAGTTAATTTGCCTGCAGAAATTAAAGTTGGAATGAAATAGGGGTGGAGTGACCCCAACCATTATTGTTTATGGGTCACAAGGTTGCGCCTGTCACCCATGGGCAACAGATGATGACCTCAGATGACCTTTGTGGCACTGAATAGAACGACAGCAGGATAATAAGAGGGCTTGCCTGAAATGAGACCATTATATATGTGTCAGGGCTAATATAATCAGAGTGGTAACAAGTCTAGATGTTTGGTAGGGTACCGGTAGGGGTGATAAAATCAGAGTTGTAACAAGTCTAGATGTTTGGTAGGGTACCAGTAGGGGTGATAGAATCAGAGTTATAACAAGTCTTGATGTTGGGTAGGGTACCAGTAGGGGTGATAGAATCAGAGTTGTAACAAGTCTAGATGTTTGGTAGGGTACCAGTAGGGGTGATAGAATCAGAGTTGTAACAAGTCTAGATGTTTGGTAGGGTACAGGTAGGGGTGATAGAATCAGAGTTGTAACAAGTCTAGATGTTTGGTAGGGTACAGGTAGGGGTGATAGAATCAGAGTTGTAACAAGTCTAGATGTTTGGTAGGGTACCGGTAGGGGTGATAGAATCAGAGTGGTAACAAGTCGAGATGTTCGGTAGGGAAGAGGTTATAGATCAGGATGGTAACAGTCTAGACGTTTGGTAGGGAAGGGGTGATAGAATCAGAGTGTAAGAAGTCACGATGGTTGGTAGGGAACTCAGTCTCCAGCTGACGAGGGAATGGCATTGTTTAGGAATGTAATGAACTTTGTAATACTAAATTGTGTCAGATAACTTTAAAAAGGTTAAAGTTTAATCCATTTTATTCCCCCCCCTTCTCTCTCTCTCCCCCCTTCCCTCTCGTTTTGTGTACCTTGTACCCATACACAGTCTGTGTGCCCCTGTATCTCCCAATCTCACTCCATCTTGTCTTGTCTCTTCTGATTCCCTGATTTCTCTTCATAGAACTTCATTCTGAATAACCCTTACTCCACCTTCCTCTTCTCTTTTCCTCCAGTCCTTGAGGGCAATCTCTTAACAGGGTTTAAAGTGAAGGTTGAGTTCTTGGAAGAGGCGACAAATAATTTGTGAGCGTTATCATTGCATTATGCAAGTGTGGAAGAACATCAGATATAAATTTTCCCTGAGAAACATGGCTCTTCAAATGCCTTGATATTCTAAATATGACATGTAACATCATAACAATTGGGATGTATTTTTATGCCACACGTTTGTGTATTTCCATATTTATCTTTCTGTGAACAGTGCTTGTAACTTTACCAAGACTGGGCCAAATTTCTTATCATTTTGATGATTCCAGAACCTTGCAGTACACGCCAATACCTTTATGCTAGATGATCAACCTTTTCTAATCGATTCCACAAGGTTTCCTTCACAATGCAATCGTATGACCAGAACTCAACTTTATCTTTAAACTTGAAAATGATTAATGCTTGGCACAAATTCTACAATATTGAAGTTATGTTTACAGTTTACCATGTACAAATACACTGATTTCAAATTCTGATAAACCCAAACACATATTTACTTATTTTAAATTGTGATTGAAAGGTTAATATTGATTTGCATCCTTTTTGTTATAAAATTTGGTAACAGAGTGAAGTGAAGTGAATTTCTTTTTTTTCTTTTTTTTTTGGAAATGAAAGGCACATGATGCTGAGACCTTCTTTTCTGTTAGTTCAAAGGGAGTGTGAAGGGGAGGGTGAAGGCTGTAAAGGTATGCAGTAGATGGTTAAGGAGTGTGTGATAGATAGATCATCAGTAGTCACTGAGTTAAAGACTGGTTGAGAGGGGTAGGTAAGAATGGTGCTATGTAGGGTTGATTGGAGTGGTCACTGCATATCACTAACACTCTCCAAATCAAGTTCTCCCTGCTCCTAGGACAGGGACCCCCTCCAACAACTTCAATCTGCGACTCACCTTTCGAGAGAGACCTTTACACCGGTCGTTTCGCCGACTGCACACCGACCGACTATCCCTTTCCCCTCTCACTTCATCTGGCGTCTATGGTTACGCTTCCCATACTCTTTCCCCGTTTCTTGAACGGTTTTTAAAGCGCTCCTCGCGCCAATTGCCTCTGGGCCAAACTACTTGAGCTGATGAGGAACGAGGCGATTGGAATTATCTCCATAACGTTCATGTCGCCCTCAGTGAAGCAAGCTAGCGGCCAGAGGAAGCTTGTCATCAAGATGCACAAGATTTGACCAAATTTTCCCCTCTCTCCTAGAATGATTTAAAATTGTATCCTGTCTTAAGGTTTATTTGGTGAGAGACTCTCTACAGTCCCCCTCTCTGTGTGCGACTGCTTTGGCAACCCGCTTTTCTGTTTTGCCTAGATGTACACAGGCATATCTGTCAGAAGACACTGCTCAAATAACTGGATGAATTTGAAGTTCAGTAAAGTTACTACCGTATGTTCAATTATATTTGGGATGAAAACAAATTGGGTATTCCTTTTTTTGTGTGTGCTTACTGTTTAATTGTTATCAAAACTGTCAAAAAAGGTCTCAAGGCTTGATAGTTTTCTTTTATTGTAAGGTCATTTTGCATGAAGGGAGATATATCCATTCTTACTTTTCTTGTTGTAATGTTCTATGATATATATTTGTATGGAACAGAAGTATTACATTTTGTTTTAATATTTTGATTTTATCTACTTGTATCTGTATACTTATTATTCACCACAATTCACACATAACCAGCTCACAAAACCTGCTATCCCATACCACATAGCCTGACTTACCTTGTATCTCACTCGGTATGCATAGTGTTTGAGGGAGAGGTATTTTAAGATATGGCATTCAACAGGTTAAAGGATATGCCTCTGGTGACACCCTCCTGGTTCCTCATCAACTGCTCATCTAGGTTTACAATCCATGGCATTAAGTGTTGTTAACTCACTGAGCGCTTAGCCTCCTTTGGTTTCACATTATTCGTGTTGGGTAATGCGTGCATGAACATGCATCCTAAACCTATCAGTCGATGTCTAAATTATCAGCATTAGATTGCAATGCATTTTGATGAGGTTCCTAACCTGCAAGGTGCTTGTTTACCTCCTCCTCAACCAGACATCATTTCAAGGTGAAAGACAAGGTGAACCCTCACTTAATACATCGAGCTACCAATTTACATCTCAAATAGAAAGCACACTTTCTTTTCTTTGCCCCGTTTTCATTTATATTCTTCAATCTTCATTATCTGCTTTAATAAATCTTTTATATATTTTCCTCCTTATGAACAGGTTGCCCCCTCGGTGTAAAGAATCCTCTTGTAAAGATTTAAATCATATCACCATATATACCACTCATCTTTTTTGAAGAATTCACTAAAAATGACACAAGAGCTGCATACTAGTCGCTACTATCGGCAAACAGGACGGAAAAACTTAAACCCACCTCTGGAGTGTGGTTTTATAAAAAGCCGGCAGAGATTTCACAGATTTTTGCAGTGTAAATGCTCGCTCTCAAAACATTGATGAATGATTCCAGTTTGTGGTCATGTGACTCTTCTCACTTCCATGTGATCACATGCAGAGCAGCGATGTTGGGCATGTGCACTACTCACCCAAAAAACAGAATGAGCAAACACTGACGTTTTTCTATGGATTTTTCAAGTAGTGTAAATATCAGTAACAAAATGATGGTTTACAAAATGGTTTTGGGCTGTGTGAATGGGTCTATTTATCTACTAAGTAACCTGACATTTCTCAATATACTTTTGTCAAATTCAATGATACCTTCATTTGGGATGTCTCAAAATAAATGCAATAAGATTTTGATTGGCACCATCTGAAAAAGTCCTTACATGTACCTCACTTATCATGTACTCCACTCAAAGCATCCACCTGTACACTCCATCAACATAGCATTTCTCAGTATACATGTACATTTATCATACACCCAATGCAAAATATACCCCCATTATACTCCATCACATGGCATTTTTCCTCGTTGTTTCTCACTTATCTTAAAGAAGTCGACCCAACTCCGCCACAATCTGACCCCTCCACCACTCCATCTCTCTCTCATGCAGTTGAGAATACTTTCACCACCGATGCCTCCATCAAACTGGATGATGCCAATGGTATTGGAAGAGGGCGTCAAGGTCAAGGTCAAGGTCCCAAGAATGGTAATAGAACCAAGTCAGCAGGAAGAAGTAGAAGAAATAATCCATCACCACCTCCAGAAGATGGTTTAGAGGTAAATATCAATACCTTATTATTCATTACTCATGCTATCAATTAAGCACTTATTATTAATATATAATTGTGTGGCTGGCAGAAGGGTGCACCGTATTCCAATGTTCTGCTTTATGCACGAACGTGATATTGCATTAAGCAGATCGTTATTGGCATTAAAATGTCTGTAACTGCCTATTTGTTTTGAAATTACTCAAATTAGGTAGATACGATCCATTTTCTTTATTTTAGAAGTCAATGAAGACAAATCCCTGTAAGGTAGAAATCTACACTTGATATGAACCAATTGCAAGAAAGACAATTCTTTCAGTGGATTGTGGGAGCAATATTCGTGAAGGCTCCTGACTCCCATACAAGCCATCCCAGGGGGGTGTTCCACAAAGGTCCCAAGTCAAACTTAACTCTAAGTTGGACTCAAACATTACATAGAGCCATTTGTAGCCTTGAACTAAAATATATTCAAAAGCAAAAATTCATGTATTTAAGATTTTTCATAAATTCCACATCAAGAACATGAAATATCCTTGATAATGGAAAATATGAATGATTTGCATCAACATGTTATGCCTTTTAATATAACTTGTACAAAATATTTTCAGAGATGTTAACAGCTTTCCATAGTTGTTAAGACCAACTTAGAGATAAGTTCAACTTAGGATCTTTGTGAAACACCCCTGGTTCAATCCTTGCTCAGTGCTTACAATCTTAGATGGGATTCTTTGCCCACTGTGTAATGATGGGTGTTATGGGTAGCTAGCATTGCTAGGGTAATAATAATTACATTGCCTGAAGGAAGAGCAGAATTAGCTCTCATGTAGGCCTATCTACTCTGGGTAAATAAGACCACATTATCATATTGATCAAGTTCTGCTTCTGTCACATTTCCCCATTGTCAATTTCTTTTGTGACTCCAACCTACATTTATAATCGGCCATGTCTCAAAAACTAACGTCAACAAAAAAACAGCCTCTTAATCTAGACTGTTTAGCTGTGATGAAATAAAGCATACACCATGAGTAGCATTTAGTTTGATTGTTTTTTGTCCATGATCCATATGATTAACTATTTGTTTACTCAGCATAAATGTTGACTAAATGCATTTTCTGATAGATTTGTTTAGATCTTCTTATCACACAAACAGGTTCATGTGCCTTTCTTTATGTGAGTGAATAAATGGATGGGTTTGTTTGTCAGTATTTGTAATGTTGCATTTCTCTTATTTAGATTATGTTTCCATCTTGCTCTATTCTTCACAGAGAGTATTTGTTTGGGATTTGGATGAAACCATAATCATCTTCCACTCACTGTTAACGGGGTCATATGCAACCAGGTTTGGAAAGGTAAGATCAAGTTTTCTTGTTTGTTTCTCCCTAAAAAATCCTTTGAATCATGCAACATTGTAATACACTTTCCTTATTTTGTTTGTGACTGGAGAGTATTAAGTGAAATTAAAGAATGTGTTAACATGTTAGCATGAACACACACATACATTATATATTTGTACTGGGAATGATAAATAGATAATCCTCTTATGAAAATATAATTACTTGTGTCTATGCCACTAAACTTTACAGCCTATGAAAGGCTGAATATCCTTTTTTTTTCTTCTCCAAATCTTGATTTTATCTTAATTAGTCCTTTACATCCCTTCCCCTTTTCTCTCTTCATTTGTATTTATGGGGAGCTGGATTGTCTTCTTTTCTGATTATTCTTTATATGTTCCTCCATTTTACTCCCTCGGTATCTTCTTACATACTATTTCCATAAACTTAGCAAGGCATACCAAATGAATAATCATGTGTATTAATGTTTACAATTTAACAGATATTTATTTGTAGTTATATATCATGGGTTTGTGGTTTAATTAGGTGGATAACCATTGCTATGTTATCCATCTAGTAGAGAGGATGTAAACTGCTAAACCGCTTCATTTATTTCCCCCTTTTCATCCTCCGTGACTTGTTCAATTCAATCTTCCATCTTCAAATTCTTATATTTTGCTTTTTTTCTCTCTTTTTCCGTGGATAATCGCGATAGAAAAAAATATCTGTCAATTTTGAGGGGTAGATGAGAGAAGAGCAAGACATCTGTGTGCGCTATGTGCTGCAATCTAAAACTCATGGCCTCAGGCATCCAATACACGCTCCTCTGTCATTCACCCCTCTTTCTCAATATACTCCTCTGATTATTGGGTGAAAGACGGAGAGAGAGAGAGACGGACAGAGAGAGCAAAACAGACAGACAGTGGGAGAGAGAGAGAGAGGGAGAGAGGGGGAAGAGAGAGAGAGAGAGAGAGAGTGAGAGAGAGAGAGAGAGAGGGAGAAAAAAACGATGGAGAGACAGTGGGAAGTGAGGGAATCAGAAAACTGAAGAGCAAAAGAGAGAAGAGAGGGAGAGAGGAAAGAGGGGAAGGGTGGACAGAGTAAGAGAGAGAGCGGGAGAAAATATTATGGAGAGACAGTGAGAAGTGAGGGAGTTAGAGGGAGGAGGGAGACAGAGAGAAGGGGGGGGGGGAATAGACTAAAAGAGAGAGAAAGAGAGAAAGTGAAATGGGACAAAAAGAATGTGGTGGGGGAATTGATGCAAGAATAAGAATTGTGCTAGAGAGAGAGAGAGAGAGAGAGAAGGGGAAGGGGAAGAGGAATAAGAAATAATCTATCAATGTTTAAAAAGTGAAGGACTGAAAAACAAAATTGATCAGTGATAGGTATAAAATATCAGGAAATAGGGTGTAGGAAAAACCATATTAATTTTCAGAAGAAAGAATTCATGAAAGTTTGCATGCAGATGTTATGATTATCATCAAAAAGTTAAAATGTCTTACAAAAGAGATGAAAGGAGGAAATAGCAAGACAAGTATACTATAGAGAATATAATTTGAAGTGAAAAGGAATAAAATAGAAAGGAAGTGAGAGGTTATAAATGTTTTAATATTTGACAGGTAGTGTAATACAAGATCAAAATGGTTACCACTCACCCAACCTTGAAAGCTAGTCATTTTCAGCAATATTAAGAGCAAATTTTCCCACTTTTGTAGTGTTTTTAAGAAATGTGAAACACCTTGATTTAATCTGTAGCCAGTTTCCTTTCTTGGGGAAGGCTGTGAGTAGAAAAGCAGGCTCAACAAAATGATATTTGAGATGGCCTAACTATGTAATCTAGAAGCCTGCAATGCAAAGGTGAACTATGAAATTGGAGTGCAAAGTATTGCATAACTAAGATCTGAAAAATAGATAATTGTGATGGAAGATTTTCTACCCTCCTGTTAATGGTAAGATTAGTGTCTTCTGGTGGACATTCACGTAGACTCGTAGAATGTTGAAGTATTTGAGTATTGATGATGTGATTTCAAGGTAAAATGATGATGAGGATTACTTTGTGACATGTTACATTGCTAAGTTACTTTTGAATTATTAGCTTATATTGATATAAAAGGAACATTCCTAAAGCCATTATCTTGTAATGTGAGTTGTATTTTATGATTTGAAGTTTAAATATTGGTGAATGTTGGTTCTACTCTTTTCTCTACTAGTGATTTTTAATATCTGAATAAAGACGAATGTGAGAATTGTTAATACCTGAATATTTGGATGTATATTGATTCAGGCAAGCATTATTTCCTGTATGCAGAGAAAAACGATTTTTCTGCCCGTGCGTGTGTGCGTGCGTGTGTGTGTGAGTGAGTGGTTTTGTGTGGGTGGGTGTAAAGTGGGGAGGGTGGGGTATGTTTGTCACCCGAGGAGGTTCTATTTATGAGTGATTCAACCCATGTATTGAACAGAATAATAATATGAGGGTTGTAATCACAAAATGATCTTGCTAGATAACAACCTAGTGCATTTTGAATCAAAATAGCTCAGGGCATTTCTAATCATCTGTCTTGTCCAAACTTCCCTTGTCTTCACTTTATTAATCTCTCTCCGTTCTCTCTTCCCAATCAGTATTTTCTTCTGTCAATCTAACATACTCTCTGCCCTGTAGACTTTCATCCCATCTATTTCACCAGAACTCTCTCCTTTCTCAATATCTGCTATACACAAAATATATTTTTTGTTAATTCCTTTATTCAGTTTTCTTGTCTTAGCACTTATAAATGATTAGGATTAAAAATGTGTTTCATTACCTTTTTGTTGATAAAGCTTGTGATATTGTTAGACGGTTGGAAATGGATTTACCTGCTTGTAAAAATAGGGGGACCCTGAGTCCCTGACACACTCTCTCTCTCTCTCTCTCTCTCTCTCTCTCTCTCTCTCTCTCTCTCTCTCTCTCTCTCTCTCTCTCTTTCTCTCTCTCTCTCTCTCTCTTTCTCTTTCTCTCTCTCTCTTTCTCTTTCTCTCACTCTCTCTCTCTTTCTCTTTCTCTCTCTCTCTTCTCTCTCTCCCTCTCTCTCTCTCTCTCTCTATAAAAACTGTAAATATATATCTACATATATATATGTTCATATATTCACTGTCCTCTCCCTCCATTGTCCTCTTTCTCATACCCTCTCCCTTCTCTTTTGCTCTCTATTCTTTTTTTATCTTTCTCCATTTCCTCCCTCTTTTTCCCGTCCACATCTGTCCGTTCCTCATATCTGTCCCCTTTGGCTCTCATTGATTTTTTGTGCTGTAATGTGATCTTTTCCACCTACAATTTTTTAGTTAAAATGGAAAAATTAAATTTAATATTTGATAATTCTAAACCTGGTAGGTACCAGTTTTAAAACAAGTAGTGCAATGATATTGCTTTTGTCTCATTGCTATAGCTTTTATCAATCATTTTATATTCATCATCAATGGATTCGGGTCAATCATCCAAATTATTTATCCTCTTAAACATTTATTATTTTGTATCATTTGTTGTTGACAAAGAAAAAAAACCATGTACCTCCAATAGATATTATAATATGAAATGGGGAAGCTCACCCCCATATTGGGTTAGTAATAATAGAAGCAAAAAAAAAATGAAAGTCACACTTTTTTGAAGTTCTCACAAGTGAAACACAAAGTGGCAACATTGACGCATATTGAGAGCTCCTCTCTAATTTGCTCCATACAGAAAATTTCATGAACTCTCATTGTAGTACTTAATGATGACGGAATAGCTTTGTTTCAAACAGAGGTTAAATAAAAAACACAATTGCAATAACTATATTTAGGATGAATGTATGATTTCAATTTATTTTTTAGTACAGGGCAAAAGAGAGGGGAGCTCGCAATATACGTCACAGAGTTCCAATTTGTATTTGATTGATTAAACCTTCAAAAATTCATAACTTTTCTATTTTTAATCGTTTTTTGCTCAAACTTTCACTGACCTGCTTCTTCCATTTTTCTGCTTCTATTAAAACCAACTTTATATCAGGGTGGACTTCCCCTTTAAGTGATGTAGCAAAAGCAGATATAAGCGATTTTCTTATGCATGGTGGCCTAGAAGTTAATAACCTTAGTGTGTTGGGCAACCCAATGCCAGGCCAGCATTTGCCCGAGGGCAACTTCTGCTGTGAGCCTGAGAGAAAGCTGACTATTGATAAGATTCTCTAGCTTGCCTGCTTGCTCGCTATGTAGAGCCTTCAGTTTGGCCTGCTTTTCACCCATTATGAATTCTCCACCATGTTTTCAATGCTGTGGGCTAGGAGATGCCTAAGGCTACGGCATGGTGTCTCTTGCAAAGATGAGGAACAGGGTTAGGTAGCATTTGGCTCTCCCTGTTTCTTTCTCTCTCTCTCTCTCTCTCATTCTCTCTCACATTCTCCCTCTTTCTCGTTCACCTTTTTTTCCTTCCTTCCTCTTTCTGTTGGAAGGAAGGTAAACATATTCATCTCCCTTGTGGAATAATAATAATATTGTGTAGCAGTTTGGGATGAGTAGACATTCAATTTGTTTTCCACTTTGCATTTCAAGAAAAACAATTCATTAATACATTACTGTTCATATTTTAAATGAATTAGTTGTCTTTTGTTTTCACTTGGTTGATTTATAATAGAAATTACAAGAGTAGAAGATGATAACTAATACAAAAATCATTTTTGAAAAACATTATTATCCACATGTACATTCACCTACCAGACAAACCCATATAGTTCTGTAGCATATTTGTTTTCTTAACTGAAATTACCCATATCAAAGGATATGAAAATGAATGGTGTACCCATTCCATCTTCAACCTGAGTCATATGTCTATATCACACCCACATTTATACTTTCTAAACCCTTTATTACGATCAGATCCAGTAGATTGCTTGCCCTACTTGTTCTTTATCATCTCTAGTAGCCTCTTCTAGCCCGATGATAGATTGCTTGCTTGCCCTCCCACCTCCCTGTTGTACCCTAGCACCTCTGGTACACTGTCCTATTCCAGT